GGCGGGGCAGGGCGGGGCGCCGGCGAGCGCCAGCTTGCAGGGTGCAACAGCGGCAGGGTGCGGCCGAGGGGCGTCCGTACTGCGCCCCGGCCGCAGGCCCTTGGTGCCTCTGCTGCGCCCGCCTGCACCGCAAGCACCGCCGAGCGCGCAAAGATAATTGGGAACCGAACAATAAAGAAACAAAAAGACACACCTGCAGGACGTCGTTGACTACCGCCGGCTCTATGACCTCCAGGAAGCTGCCCAGCGCCCGCGCGGAAGCTTCCGCCCCCGCGAACAGTGGGAATGCGCGCTCAAACAGCACCTGCGGCCGCCGCAGCAGCACGCACGCGTGCAGCGCGAGCCGCGCAAGCGCCGTCGACGCCGGCGACGTCGCGCTCGGCCGACCGCCCTGGGCCCCCGCCTCGGCTTCCCCCTCGTCTTCGATGTTCACGAGCTGCTCGCCCCGCTCCCGTTTAGCTGCTGCTGCAGCCTGCGCGATGTCATGTAGGGCCGTGCCGACATGCAGCAGCATGAGGCTCAGCAGCCACTGCTCCAGCTGGGCCGGCTCTGCGCCTGCGCCCTCGCAGCGTGCGAACCCGCCGGTCATCGGCCGGCGCCCGGCGGCGGCGGCCGCGGCGGCGGGGCTGGCGGCGCCGCCGCCGCTGGACGGGGCTTGCTGCTGCTGCTGCTGCTGCTGTTGCTGGTGCTGCTGTGCATTCTTGTAGAATGATAGAGCATAGTACAGGCCGAGCTTGAACTTTTGGATGTCCTGGGGTGGTGAAGGGGGCGAGGGCAGCTGTGAGAACAAAAACTGATTGCCAAAGATCAGGCGGAGGGCAGGCAAGAGGAGACCAGGTCGACGCCATGTGTCAAGCTTCTTTGACGTGCAAGCGAAACAAGAGGCGGGCGGAGCAGCTGCTCGCGCCTCACGCGAGCAGCAGCCGCCAGGGCGCAAGGCGCCCTATCCGCTGCGAGCAGTCGATCAGCAGACGCCGCCGCCCTGCTCATGCTGCCCCCTCGCCCCATCCCCCTCCGTCCGCACCTGCAGCGTCTTGAGCCGCTCGCTCCACTGCATGAGCCGCCCCCAGGACAGCCCGCCGCTGGTCAGCAGGTACACGCGCGGCCCCAGCCCCACCACACTCGCGCCGCAGCCGCCGACGCCCGGGGCCTGCTCCAGCAGCAGCGGCGGGTCCAGTAACTGCAGCTGCTCCCGCACCTGGCAATTGCAGCCGCGATATGAGGACACCGATTTCAGGGCCAAACGCAGCGTGCCAACAACGTGGGCAAGAGTCACGGTATCCCAACACACATTTCAAATGGCTAGGGGGATCGCTAGCGCAGGGGTGAGGGGGCAGGGGTAAGCGGCGCGCCGCACGTCGGACGCGAAACAGCTTGTCGAGATTTCGTGTGGCTTTTTGAAGATTGAAGGTCCCCCCGCCCCGGCCCCACCTGCAGGCTGCTGCCCTCCAGCACCAGCAGCACTGCACTCAGCCCCTGCTGGCACACCGCCGCCAGCACGTCCTGGTCCAGCCAGTGCAGGCCCAGCACGGGCAGCGCCTCCTCGGGCCCCAGATGCTGCTGCTGCTGCTGCTGCTGCTGCCCCTGCTGCTGCCCCTGCTCTTGCCCCTGCTGCTGCTGTTGCTGTCCCTGCTGCTGCTTGTGCGCCGAGCGCTTGGGCTTCGGCCGCCACATGCCCGCGATGCTCAAAGGGAACATGCCCGTGAGCTGGCTGGCGGCGGCGGCGGTGAGCGCCTCGAGCGCGGCCTGGCGCGCCGCGGCGCCGCGGCCGCCACCGGATGCGCCGGGGGCCGGGCGGCGCAGCATGGCCGCGGGCGCGGGTGACGCCGGATCGGGTGACGCTGTAGGGGTGGGGGAGCGCAGGAGGGGAGCGCAAGGGCGGCAGCGATTACCAGCCAGGTGTAACGAGCTGCGCGGCGGAGAGCGGTGCTGTAAGCGATCAAGCGAGTCGGCTTGGCGCGGCTACGCCACGCCGCAAGCAGGGGAGCAACAGCAACGTTTTGCAATGGGAGACAGGGCATCGGCCGGCCGGCAAACCCTGCGTGTCTGAGTCTGCGCACCTGCCTCGGCGGCCCCTTGGTGGTCGCCCACCAACGGCACATTGAACAGCACCAGCCGCGGCCCCCACGCCAGCGACAGCACCGCGGCCGGCACCGCGACGCCGCCGTGGCGCAGCGTCTCGCCGCCGCCGGGGCGCCGGTGATGCGGCAGCCACGCCGCGGCGGGCACGTGCGAGGCGCCGCCGGGCTGCGGGATGCTGTACAATGGCAGCAGCTCCCCAGAGGGCTTGAACCGCGCGACGTAGCAATGAGAGAGAGTGGTGAGGCACACGGTACCCTCGCCCACGCGCGCCGTGCCGCCGCCGTCCTGGCGTGCGCGTGTGCGACGCATGGGAGTGGAGGGTCGGCTTGGAGGGGGGGCGGCGCGGTCACCGGGGGCCAAACGCTGCCTCAGGCGTGGCGCGAACGAGAGGAGCCTCGACCGCTGCACTGGCAGCAAGGTAGGAGGAGGGTCGTCCCCAGCCACCCATGACGGCATCATCCTCATGCATGGGGCCCATTCACTCTGATCCCTCGGCCCACCTCAAAAAACGCCCTCCTCGCCGCCGGGTCCTCCCCTGTTGCCCTGCCCGCCGGCACCCCATGCGGGCTCCCCGGCCATGCCCCAGCCGCGCCGCCCCCGCCCCCGCCCCCGCCGCCGCCGCTGGCGCCGCCGCCGCCGTCGGCCCGTGGCGCCAAAAGGAACGGCGCCAGGTGGGCTACGCCGATGATTGGGCCGTACTGACCATCTAACACGGTGCGGCTGCTGGTGGAAGTTCGCAGCAGCATGGACGAGAACGTGTGCAGCACCGCGCGGCCGCGCCGGTCGGCGGTGAGCAGCTGGGAGGTGCCCTTGCCCGGGAAGAAGGATACGCTGCTGATGGGGGCGCCATGCTGGGCTGCAGGGTTTGACACACGAGAGGTGGGAACAGGTCGAGGTCGGTCAAAGGCAGTCAAGATCGCGGGAGGAGGAGGTGCTGTTGGAGCAGCAGCTCGGAGTGCGGCGCAGGATGGAGCATGCGAGGGGACAGGCAGACGGGGACAGGCGCGAAGCTCACGCGCAGGCAGGGCGCCCGCGACGCCTCACCTATCGTCGCCACCTGCTTGCCGCCGCGCTTCTGGATCTCCCAGACCGCCACCACGCCGCCCGCGTGGCCGGCGGCGAGCCAGAGGGCATCCTGTGCGCCCGCTGGGTGCGAGAACGCCAGCGCCGTCACCGGGCCCAGCTCGGGCTTCGGCCCGTCCCCCAGCGCCCACACCGCCGCGCCGCCCGCCGCCGCGGGCGCGCCGCCGGCGGGCGGTGCGGCGCCCTGCTGCTGCGGCTGCTGCGGGTGCGCCGGCGGGAGCTGCAGCACCACCACGGCGCCGCTGCTGGTTCCGACCGCCACAAACTGGCCGGCCGCGGCGACGGCCTGCGCGCCAAAAGTGCGACCGACATCCAGGGGATCGTCAAACCAGCCCACTGACCCATATCAGGAGCTTCAGCAGCACGCACTCAGCCAGCAGAGCGCCAACACCACGCCTCCCCACCCCCCCCCCTTCCCCTCTCAGCTGCGCATGCAGCCGGGGCCCCAGCCCACCCAGTGAATCCAACAAAAGCCAGCCGCGCGCACCTGCGGCCGGCCGTGCGCCGCCCACCATGAGGCAAGGCTGCCCACCACCGCGCTGAGCTCCTCCAGCCGCAGCAGCACCGCTCCGCCCACCATCGCGCCCACCGCGTCAGGCCGGCCCTGCGGGTTCCAGTCCCCCGGCGCGTCGGCCAGGAGCTGAGTCAGCACGGACAGCGAGTCCTCGGGCGGCGGGGCGCCCGGCGGCGGCGCGGCGAGCGCGCGCTCGGCGGCCTCGGCGGCGCGGAGGGTGGCGGCGCCACGGTCGGCGCCGGCCTCCGGCTGGGCGGGCGGGGGCGGCGACGTGTTTGGTACAGATTCGGCCTGGTCCGGCTCCAGAGGCTGCCTTTGCTGCTGCGGAGGCGGCTGCCCTCCATCTTGCTGCTGGTGCTGCTGTCGTGGCGGCGCGGATTGCTCAAGCGCCAAGACCCGTGCCGCCTCGCCCTGCGTGTCTGCATCGTCCTGCTGCTGCCGCTGCTTCTGCCCTCGCTGCTGCTGCCCGGCTGGCCCGTGGTGTGCACCCGCGTCTGCGATGGCAGAGGGAGCGGCTGCTGCGGAGCCTGGCGGCTGCTGTGTGGGTGAGCCGGGTCCTCGTTCACTCGGCTCTGCAGCTGCTGTTTGCCCATCTAGCTGCAGCCCTGCTGCAGGGTTGTCCTGCTGCCGCGGCCGCTGCGGCTGCTGCTGCCAATCCTCTGTTGGCTGCTCCTGCTGCTGCTGCTCTGGTGGCTCCCGCACCGGTGGCTCATGCCCTGGCGTCGGCGCTGCCCGCTCCGACCCCAGAGGCACCAATTCTGGCCCCGCAGCCGACCGGCCGGCCCGCGGCGAGGCACCAAAACCTCGCGGCGCAGCCGGCGTCCCGGCGCCTTGTAACGGCCCATCAAGCGAGGTGTCGCCTACAAGGTCCCCTAGCAGCAGGTCCACATCATCGTCCCCCTGGCTGTTCAGGAGCTCGCCCACTCCGCCACTGTGCGCCACCGCAGGGGGAGCTTGCCGCGCTGTGCCAGGGGCGGGTACCGCTGCTGTCAGATGCGGCTCGCTGCTCGACGGATCGGGGTCGCCGCCTGGTCCGCTGGAGGGTGCCACCTGCCAGTCGGCAGCGATCACGTGTCGGCAAGGCGCGTGCACACTCCGCCGGTGCAAGCGGCAATGGGGCCGAGCGCAATGCAGCAACCCACTCAAGATTCCAAAGCACTGCCACCAGGAAGCCTATATAGCCGAATTTCCTTGCACTGACCTCTTCATCGTTCCCCAAAAGCTCCGAGAGCAGGTCCTCCAGCGATCCATCCGCCATAATCTTGATCTGGCCGTTTATGGACCTGGCATGATTACCAGCGCTTTTAAGCTCTCTTGATGCATTTTTGTGACAGTCATCGACAAAAGATGATCCACTCTGCCCTAGCAAGGACCTATGCGGAAGGTGCCGGGAGCAGCTAGCGGAAAATCACGGGGCCTTATGCACCAGCGAGCTCCTCATTGTGTGTGCAACTGCACCAGAAACGGTGTTGTGTAGTAGCCTCACATCACAGGACAGGGCCACCCATCTATCGTGCTGACACTGCTCGCAGGACCATCAACCCGTGCAGCGACTGCCATGCTCAGACCTCAACTTGCACAGGCCACTTGCAATCCGTCCGTTGGGTCTGTGCCGTTGCTGGTGGACCTGTGCCTGCAGGCAGCCAGCGCCTCGCCACTATGGACGGTGCAGCGGCGCTCTGTCGAAGCGCTGCCGCCCGACTTGGCAAACCAGCTCTTGGCTCTGCTCCTGGAGCGCCACGCGTTCGACGCCGCGCCGCACCTGCTGCAGCGTTTTGTGGGCTGCGCAACGCGCGTGGCAATTGACGTGCGGCAGAAGGAGTTAACCATCTCGCCATTGCAGCTGGTTGCATGGCTCGCCTCTTTCCGGTGCGCCTGCCGGCCGCAGGCATTGCAGGATCGCCGCGCTCGGCCCCGCATGCACAGTGCATGGCCCAGCCACGACCATGCGCTCCGTATGCGCACCTCATGCGAGTCCCATGCGGGGTCAACACGTGCCGTCTGGTGCTGCTCTCACCGCCTCGCCACGCGGCAGGCACCTGGAGGCCCTCGCCATCAAAAATTCAAAGTGGCTCAAGGACTCACACCTGGCGCCGCTCGCCGCGCTCGGCGGCACGCTGTGCTCCCTCAGCCTCCGCGGCTGCGGCGGCGTCGGCGCGGCCAAAGGCGCGCCGACCGCCACCGTCCTCGGCGCACTCACCGGCCTGCGCTCCCTGGACCTCTCCAACACGGGCTTCAGGTCGGCCCACCTGAGGCTGCGGCAACTGTCGGCACCATTGGCGCGCCTCACCTCGCTCTCGCTGTCGGGCTTGCAGCTGGACGACGCGGCCTGTGGCGGGATCGAGGAGCTCGGAGATCTCAGATCACTCGACCTCTCCGACGCCGTCATCACCGGTGGCTTTGTCGAGGGCGCGCTCGGCGGCCTGACGCGCCTGACGCGCCTCGCGTTGAACTGGTGCAGCACAGGCGCGCTGCCGGTGTTTGGCAGCCTGAAGGCGCTGGAGATTGACCACTGCCGCCTGACCGACGTGGCGCACTCGGCGCATGGCGGGGAGATGCGGTTGGAGCGGCTGTCCGTGGCGCATTCCAGCGTCGAGGGCATTGCGGCACTGGCGCTGCCCGAAGTCATCAGGTGTGTGCGCGTGCAAATGCGCATGCGCGTGATTATGCATTGCTGTGCACTCATGTTGCCAGTGATGCGACATTTGAGGGCCTGCTTTGATGTCCCAGATCCTGAGACATGCATTGCCGAGCAGTCTGTAATGCGTGACAGGTCAGGCGCGCAGGTGCCCGGTTCAGGGGATGCTAGCACTTACTCTTGGCCGTGGTCAAAGGATTTGACGCGCTCGCCTCTTGCACACATTGCAACAACCCCAGGGCTTCCGCCCCCGTTTTGCAAGAGCTCACCGCGCCCTACTTGATAAACCTGGAGCCCGGCGGCGGCGACGGCTACGCCATGCAGCTGCTGCCCGCGCTCGCAGGCGCCGGCCAGCTGCGCACGCTCGACCTCAGCGCGGCCACCGCCGCGCCCCGGGAGCGCCGCGGGCCCGTGGCGGCGGCGCCCGAGCCGCCGCCGCTGGATTCCCTGGGGCTGAGTGGGCTGACAGAGCTGGTTTTCCGCGGTTGCTCCGTCGGCGGCGCCGCGCTCGGCGGCATCCTCCAGGGACTCACCAGCTTGCGGCGCCTGGACGTGTCCGGCACGTTGGCCCCGCCGCGCCTGGGCGTCGCTTCTGGCGGCGGCGGCTTCGACGACGCCGCACTTCGAGCGCTCGGGAGCTGCCGGCTGCCACATCTGGAGGAGCTTGATGCGAGATACAACCCAGGGCTGGAGGGCCGCTTCGGCGGCGGCGGTGGCGGCGGCGGCGGCGGCGACGAGGACGGCGGCGGTGCTGCAGGCGGGGGCGGGGCCGTCGGCGCAGCAGCCGCAGCGGAGGAGGTGTGGCGCGGCCTGGCCGGCCTGCGGGACCTCCGGTTGCACGACACCGGCGTCACAGGCCGCGCGGCCGTCGCCGGGCTGGCCGCCGCGCTCGGCGGCAGCCTGCGGCGCCTGGACATAGACAGCATGTGCCCGGCGTCGCTCGCGGCGCTGTGCCAGCACGCGCCCGGGCTGCGGAGTCTGCAGGTGACCTGGGGCGGGCTGACGGTGGCCGACCTTGAGCGGCTCCTCCCGCGGCTGGGGCGGCTGGAGCGGCTTGAGCTGCGGTCGCAGAACCCCCTGGTCATTGACGCCGAGCGGCTGAAGCCGCTTGCGCGGCGGCTGAGGGGCGGGAGGGTGGTGGTGGATGGAATCGATGTGACCGCGCTGGTCCGCGCGGAGGCCGCCTCCGGGAGGGACCAAGGCGGCCAGCAGCAGCCCTCGCCGCAGCAGGGGCGGCGGCCCAGCGGCGGTGGACGGGAGGGCCTGGCCTCCTTTGACCAGCGGCTGCGGTACGCGCGGGCGGACCTGAAAGGCTTGCAGTCCAGCCCCGTCGTCGCCGCGGCGGCGGGGCGTGTCAGGGAGGCGCTGCTGACTGCCGGGGCCGAGGAGGGTGTTGGGTTGGGCATCCTGCGGCCCGACTGGTGATTGAGCCGCCGTGGCCGACGTGGGCTCTTTGGCCTTTTGGTTTCTGGGGGGATTCGCACAGGCTGAATATTTTGTTTTTTTTGGGGGGGTTGCGGTAGTCTTTTGATTTTATGTGACGCCTGGTGTCATGGTGAAGTCTGGAATTGCAATTTCGCCCTGCCTAAGAAACCTGTGTCACATGACATGGTGGATGCACTAGCAGCTCAGCTGCGTGTGGGTGGTTCTGTGACTGATTACTTGTGCAATTTGCAGGCTCAGGGGCCAAATCTGAAGATGCACAGCTTGCAACAACCTGTATGAACAGGCCTGTCAGCACAGGCGGTACTTTTTGACCGATGCTTTTCATGCGTTGCAGGTATCTTGCAGTTCCATCCATTGAAGTGCCGTTGCTTGGCCGTCATCAGTGCAGTGCCATGATGCTTCATTTCGCTGACAGCCACCTATTCCCGAGCTCGCGGCTGCCTTTGATTGTGACAGCAGGATACTAAATACTGTAACATGTGGATGCAGTGTTATGGCTGATGGTCGGTGTGCTGAGGACCTTGGCTGCGGCATGGACTGCGGGGTTGTGGACCGGCAGGCAGTCCTGCTTACCGGTATATGATGCTGTACCCGTAATGCACTGCGCGATAGTACATGAGGCAGGGGCAAACATCTCATTCTCACTCACGCTGACATGCAAACACATTTCAACCCACTGCCCTTGCATACCGTATCATAGCATCTTATTGGAGTTGCTGCGCACACTGCATCTGGGATTGCGGCTGAATTGTTGAATGTGCGAATGAGTCCACTCGTGTGGCAAGCGTGGGCTCACCTGGTGGCTGAACACATATAATGCCGAGCACATCAGACCTGACGCACCTGTGCAGCTTCCCAAATTTGAAATTCGGCTGGCTTTGACAGCGCGATCCGCAGCGATACGTCTCGTTGGGCCATTGCGCTAGTGAGAAGCCCATAGTTGTCGCGCAACAGACCAGATCAGCACAACATAGTGGCGGGACGCCTGAGAGTATGCGCCAGCACCGCATCAATAAGCCAATCAATAACCCCATAATCACGACCAGTGTGTAATTAGGGGCTATCAAAGTGCAGGCAGCAGTGATTGCCGTACCCGCGGTGCTGCGGGCAGCGCCGCACGCAAACCGGCGCACACTACTCATTAGGGGGCGCACTGGTGGCGCAGCAGCACCGCCAGGATGTCTGGGTCGACGCCCTCGAAGGCCGCAAGCGGCCCTCGCGGCGCCGCGTTTGGCAGCGGCCCAGCAGCCGCCCCTGCCGCGGGCCGCGGAGCGCCCAGCAGCGGCCGCCTGCGCTCTGACTTCACGCGCCCGCCAAGCGCCAGCAGCCTCCATCGCACGCCGCTGCGCGGCGCGGGTGGAAAAGACGCGGCCACCGCCGGCCAGCAGCAGACCCCCTCGGGGGCCGGCGCGCTGACGCCCCGCGGCGGCGCCGCTGCGGGCACCATCGGCAATGGCAACCACGCAAACGGGGCAGTCGACTTTAATGGGCTCACGCCGTCGGTGCCGGCGTATGCCCACACCAACGCGCTCTATGGCGCCGACGACGTTGGCATGACGCCCTCTGTCCGCACGCGCGAGTACACCCCCTCCCTCTCCGCCGGCCAGCCCGCGCCCCAGCACCCCTTCGGCCCCGCCGCCGGCGGCGCCGACGACGCGGGGCCGCTCACCGCGGGCGCCGCCGCGTCGGCGGCGATGCCGCAGCACCCGCGCAAGCTGGGCGCGCCCAGCCCGTTCCTGCAGAGCCACGGTGACCTCTGGGTGGGTGGTGACCAGGACGACAGGGACGACATCGCACTAGAAGTGCACGCCCCCAGCCAAGCGTCTGTCGTCGCCCCCGCCGCATCCAACAGAGCCGCGGCCCCCGCCGCCGCGCCCGGCGGCGCGCCCGCGGCGCCGCAGTCGGCGCTGCTCGTGCTGCCAGGCTGGCTGCGCGCGCGGCCGTTTTCCACGGCCCTGCACCTGGCGGGTGCGGCCGCGCTGCGGCTGGAGGCAGAGGCAGAGGGCGAGCCGCCGCCGGACCTGCGAGCGCTGCCAGAGGCGGTCAGAGAGGCGGCGCTCGTGGACGACCTGCTTTACTGCTTCATGGGCGTCCCCGGCCGCTGCCTGCGGCCGGCGGTCGTTGACGACGGCGGCCGCCGCTTCACGCGCGGCCCCGCGGTAGCGTTCGCCCCGGCGGCGGCGCTGGACGAGCGGTCGGCGGAGTTGGTGCGGAAGCTGCTGCCGCTGCCTGAGTACGCGGCGGTGGTGGAGCGCTTTGCCGTCACGCGGGACAGGTGGGCGGCGTGTGGCGGGGGGCATGCGTGTGGCGGTGTTGGCGCGGGGAAGTGTGGCGGCTGGCAGCAGCTGCTTGACTGCCTGCACAGGCGAGCAGCGCTGCGTTGTGCTGACGGCGTTGGCAGCTGAGAGCTTTGCGTGTGCTTTCGACGAATGCACACACACACACACACACACACACACACACACACACATACACGCACACACACACACACGCACCTGCCATGAGGCACTGCATCTATATGCTATATACAGCGCCCCTCACACCTCCCTGAACCCCATCCCCCTGTCAGCCCTGAGCGGGGCATGGCTGCAGAGGCGCTGGCCTCCGAGCTGCGCTCACTGCTGGAGAAGTGGCGCCTGCTGGTGGTGCAGCTGGAGCGGCGCGCGCTGGGGCCTGGTGGCCTCAGCCTAAGCGAGTTGCTGTTCCAGTGCCAGGCGCCCATGGCGTCCCTCAAGCTGGCGGCGGAAATCGCGGTGGGTGGTTCCGGGCAATCCTTGAGCGGCCGGCTTGAGGCATGCTGCGCGCTGAGCTTGCTTGCATGCCGCACACACGATTTTCGCCGCCGCGGCGGCCGGGGCGGCCATGCGGCGCCACGCGCGGGGCTTCTCGGAGCTCCTCGGCCCCAACTCAATCCCCTCCCACGGCCGCCGACGCCTGCAGGCCGAGGCGTCCTCCCAGGAGCTCACGTCGGCCGGCCTGCTCAACCTGCTGCACCGCCGCCTGGGCGCCCTCGGCGGCGACGCGGCGGGCCGCGCGCTTGCGGAGCGGCTGCTGGCGGCGGCGGCGGGGCCCTACTTTGAGATCCTGGGGAAGTGGCTGGCGGAGGGCGTTTTGGACGACCCCTACAACGAATTCATGGTCAAGGCGAGTGCACCCGAGGAGGGGCGGCTCCTGGGTTGGCTGGCTGGGGTGTGCAGATGGCCCATGGGTTGTGGGGCGTCGGGAGTTGCAGGCGGGGGCTGCTTTGGGGGCCGTGCGTGCCTGTGTGTGGGGTCGGGTGTTGCCCAGGAAGGTGCTCGGTGCGGGGAGGCTGTGCTGTTGGGTGGCCCTGGGGCGTTGTTTGTGTCCAAAGTGAGCTTGCTTGGCGCGGCGACGAGGGGTGGGGGCCGATGGCACGTCTTGCCGGCGTGTCCGCGTATGATCAACGCTCCAGCAAAGCGCGATCACCCCACGACGCGGCGGCGCCGGCGCGCAGGAGGACACCAGCGTGGGCCGCCACTCTCTGGGCGACGACCAGCAGCTGACCTACTGGGCGCAGCGCTACGTGCTGCGCTCCGACCCCACTTACGCGAAGCCCGACAGGGGCGCGCCGCAGCCGCCGCCCGGCGCCTTTGACGGCGGCGGCCTCGACGTGCCGGCGTTCCTTTGGCCCTGCCGGGATGCGGTGCTCACAACGGGTGGGCGCGCGTCCGCTGGCCGCGGCCCAGGTTGCTTGGGGCTGCGCTTGAGCACAGGAATGCCTCGGCTGCTGGCGCCTTTGAATGTGCTTTGCAGGGGTTGGCGGTTGCATGAGGAGATCCGTCGCAACATATATGGGCATGCTTTGATATGAGCATGATTTGCAGCGGGGCCTGGATTTGCTTCATTGTCAGGAATGATGCATTGGTGCAGAGCTGGCGGCAACCTATGGCCGCGCGCCCTAGATGACGTCCCCGCTCTTGCACCCTCCCCCCCGACCGCCCGCCAGGCAAGTACTTGAACGCAATGCGAGAGTGTGGCGCCGCCGTCCCGCCGTCTCCGCTGCCCGGCGGCCGCCTGCGCTACGACGCCGGCGGCGCGTACCTCGACGCCGTCGGCGCGGCGCTCGACGCGGCGAGCGGCGCGCTGCTGCGTCTGATGCTGGGGCAGGGGCAGCTGATGGGGTGGCTGCGGTCCATCAAGCACTTCTTTCTGCTGGACCAGGTGGGCTGGGCGAGGCTGTTGATTTTGACGCACGCGCGGGCCGGGCGATTGTGGCGGCGGCCGGCGGCTTCCGCGGGGCGGCGGGGCGCATCACGAAAGACGCGTCTTGAGCAAAGAGGCGCCCGCCGGGCCTGCCCTCCCCCCATCTGGCGGCCCCCCGACCCAACCCGACCGCCGGCCGCGCCCCACCCCAACCCCATCCGCCCCCGATTGCAAAACGACCCAATCGCGAGAAAAGGGCGACCTGCTCGTCCACCTATTGGAGGGCGCCCAGGAGGAGCTGTCCAAGCCCGCCTCCGAGGTCTCCCGCCCCCGCCTGCGCAGCCTGCTCGAGCTCGCCGCCCGCACCAGCAGCGTCGCCGCAGACCCGCGGCTCGACAGCCTCCAGTACACCTTTGACGCGCGCGGCCTCGCGCAGCTCGTTGTCGCCGCGCTCGCACCGGCGGCGCCGGGGGAGCCGGTGCGCTGGGCGCGCGCGAGGGGCGGTGCCAGGGACGCCTTGCGGCGGCGGCTTGCGCGATGTGCTGCTGCCTTGTGTTGTGGCTTACTCCAAGAAACCGCCCCGCCGCCCCCTCCCTGTCGCGGCGCTTTGCGGCGCCTTACGCAGGTGCGCCCGGGGCTGGTGATGCGCAACAGCACGGCGCCCGCGTGGCAGGTGCTGCTGCTGGATTTCAAGGTCGAGTGGCCCCTCAGCCTCGTGGTGTCGCGGCGGCAGCTGCTGCAGTACCAGGTGGGGCGGGGCGCCCCTCGGCCAGGGCGCGCGCGTTGCGCCGCCACAGACACGAAGCGGCTCGCACGGCCGCTTGCAAGCGCGGCGGAGATGCTGGGGGTTTGCGGGCCGCAGTCCGCAGCCGACGCTTGCCGCCTTGCAAAAGACAGCGAGCCCTCCTGACCCGTCCTTGCATACGAACAGGCCCACAACTGCACGATCCTGCAAACCTGAAACAACCCCACGTATCCTGTACATAAAATCGCGTTCTGGTTGTGCGGGGCAGGTGATCTTCAAGCACCTATTCCAGCTGAAGTTTGCGGAGAGGCAGTTAAACACGGTGTGGGCGGCGCTGCAGCCGACGCGCGGCCTTTCCAGGTGCGGCCTCGGGCTGTGAGGGGTGACGTAGGCCCTTGCATGACGCCAAAGTGCAGCACGCTTGTGGTCAGGCTGTGGCCAAGAACACACACGCACACATGCTCCACGCACCCCCCTTGCGCCCCTCCACACACACACATGAACGCATAATCCACATGCACGCACACGAACACACACTTGCATACACTTACTCACGTGCCCACAAACACACACACACACACACACATGCACATGCACATGCACAGGGCAGACCAAGAGCGCTTCCGTCCCTGGCACACGCTCTGCCGCGGCCTCACGCACGTGCTGCAGGTACGTCAGTCCAGCGCCCGCCCCGCGCGCCACCACGAGGCTCGCGCGCCGGCCCCGCCCACACCCGCGGCCAAGCACACACGCATGCCCCGGGCGACACGCGCCCGCCGGATCGCCAGCACGCCCGCGTGGCCGCTCCGTCCTGTAGCATTGCCATTCCCCCCCACCCGACCCACATGTCTTCCTCTGCCTCCCCTCCTTCCCGTCCCACTGCCGCCGTCGTTGCCAGGAATACCTGCGATATGTGACCACAGACGTGCTGGAGCCCCTTTGGCTCGCCATGGAGGAGCGCATAACCCGCGCAAAGGACATAGACGAGGTGCGCAGTGTTCAATTGTGTGTTTGTGTGTGTGTGTGTGTGTGTGTGTGTGTGTGTGTGTTTGTAAGCTTGCGTGGCTGTGTGCCTGGGCGTGTGTGTGCGCGCATGCCTGTGTTGCGTGTGGGTGTGGGTGTGGGTGTGGGTGTGCGCGCATCGTACAGTAGGCGGCTTTGCAAATCGCAGATTCATGGCAGAGTTGGGGTTTGTTGCGCGTTAGCATGTGCAAGCAACTCCAATCGCCACCAGGCAACATGGTGCTGCGGTGCAGAGCACATTCTGCGCAGGCCCCTCTTGCTGCTGGCCTGCCACCCAGCACCTGCGCCTTCCCCTCGGGGCCGAACGCGCAGGTGATGTGCTGCCACCAGGCTTTCCTGGTCCGCGCCGCGGACGGCGCGCTGCTGACTCAGCTGCCCGTCCTGAAGTGCGTCCTGGAGCTGCAGCGGTGCGCGCACGACCTCTGGAGGGAGGGCGCGGTGCTGGCGGTGCGGGCGGCGCCGGCGCCGGCAGGTGCGTGCGGCAAGGGCGTGCCTGAGGTGGAATAATGGGGAAGAGCAGATAACCAAGTGCGCACGTGCATGTAGGGCGGCAGTGACTGCTCGCACACGTTGTCGAGCCCATACACCTGGGCAATCTCATTGCCCGCCCCATCTGTGCCTTTCTGGTTCATACGCGCCCCTCGCTCTTCTCTGCAACCCCTGTGATGCGCAGCCAAGCCCGCCGGGCGCCGTGCGCCGCTGGCGCGCCAGGAGAGCAGCTTCGACCGCGCGCTCGCCGCCCTGCGGGAGGTCGCGCGCAACGAGCGCCAGTCCGCCGCGATCGGCGCGCTGGCGGGGCGCTTCGCGGCGCAGCTGGGCGAGCTGACGGAGCGGCTGGGGGAGCACTACCAGCGGCTGCTTGCCGGGGCGGGCGTGCGGGGCGGCGGCGGTGGCGGCGGCGGCGGCGGCGGCGGCGGCGCGGCGGCGATGTCGACGCGTGAGGAGCTGGACAGCCTGCTGAACTTGATAGAGAGGATTGACGTGGGCGGCGGCGCGGGCGCCGGGGGCGGCGTGGCGGCGGCGCTGGCGGGGATGCGGCTGGTGGGGGTATAGGCGTGCGAGGGTGCTGTGCGTTGCGGCCAGCGGCTGGAAGGGCCGAGGCATGCACAGAAATGATGGTTGCTGCTGGGTGTAAATGTGGCTCAGTATGACCGAAAGCGAGCGCTACCCGGCGTGTGCACGTGTGAGCCTGTGTAGTGTATGTGTATGTGTGTGTGTATGTGTGTGAGCCTGTGTAGTGTATGTGTATGTGTGTGCGTGTGTGTGTGTATGCACACGCGCGCGCACGCGCGCGCGCGTACCTGACAGAGAAACGTGGCGAAGCTTTGCACTGGAGTTCTAACAGCGGCTGCAGGGAAGGCAAACAAAAAGGCAGGCAAACATAAGAATTATGAAAGCAAGCACAACGCTCTCCTTGGATCGCTTGGACACGAGCACTGTCGCTTGCTCGCCATGTGCTTCACTGCATGGCGGCGGCGTCACCCCGGCCACCCTCCGCTGACACGTGGCTCCTCACTGCAAAAAACCCAGTCCCTTCGCAGTACAGGTACTGCGCAGTTGGCTGTTTCGCTCCTGTGAAGACGTGTATCGCATGCATACGTCAACTGCAGGAACCGAAGCCCAATGGCAAAGCGAGTACGCAGCAATTTGCCAGCGCACACACACAGCTGGCGCAGCTTAGGCTAGCGGAAGCGACCAGGATGTTGTGTTTTTAGTGACATTCAATTAGGTAGCGTGGCTTTCGGGCGATCTGCGCTACTCTGCATCTGAAAAAACAATGGATTCGCCCAGCCCCAGCCCGGCGGTCGAGTATCCAAGCAACCTGCTCAAAGACTGGAACATCACCAGCAACCAGGTGTCGGACCACCAGCTCCTGACAGGGTGAGCGGGGAGTCCATCGCTGATCCAGACCGGCCTGACCAGCCTTTTTTATGCTCGGATTGCTGTCTCGCGTCGGTTATGCGCTAATGTGTCGTATACAAGTCAGTGCATGGGCAGACTAGCCGGCACGACGGAGCTTTTGCGACATACTTGCGGGATGTGCAGCGCTGCTCTCGCTGCTCTTGCCGCTATAAGAGCTGCCGCACATTGCAGCAGCCCAGCACTCTCCTTCTTGTGGGGCATGGCATGCGCATTGTCCAAACTTTCCTGTGTGGCTGCTATATGGCACGGCGGTTGCGGGGGTGACAGGTGCCAACCACCGCAGTCACATGGGCTCATCGGCCAGGGGCGCCCAAATTTGCCAGGCCGGATCGGCACAAACGCCCTCGCCCTGCCCCGACATGGATGTGATCTTCCGCTGATTTAGCCCGTCATCTCGCACACACTGGTCAGGCTGTGGTTCAACACAGTCCTGGGGGCGGCATGCTTCGTATCCTTCTGCTTCCTGCAGCGCTCCGTGTTCCCCAAGCACTACCGGCACCGCTTGGTGCGCCGGGCGCAGCGGCGGCAGCGGGGCCCGCGGGCGGCAGCACAACGTGCATCAGCGCTGGCGGCAGCATTGCGGATGGCGGCGGCTGCGCCCGCATCACCATGGGTCGCCGCTCGGGCCGGGGACGGCAGCGCGAAGCGCTGCTTGCGCTGACAGCTGCTGCGTACGCATCCGGACGGGTCCGTCCGGGTGTGCACGCGCCCACGCTCCCTGATTAACAGATCTCCCGTCACTGCGCCGCGCGCAGGTCTCCCCATCGGTAACCGTCAAGCCACGCGGCATGCCCACCCGCGGCTGGTCCTCACTATGGTGATTGGCTGCGGGAGGAGGGCTCCAAATTATGATCCAGCGAGCGCCTCCGAGCCAATGGCAACCCGGTAGACCGTGCCAGCAGCTGCGGCTCGCCGCAGCGGCGCCCCAGCCGCGCCATCGCCGTAAACACACCCGGCCGCGCGCCCCCGACGGCTCCCCTCCATGCATGCAGGCAGTGGCTGGTCAACGCCGTGTCGACCCCCGAAAAGGAGATCATGACGAGCGCAGGGCTGGACGCCGTGGTGAGCGGCGCACGCGGCCGTTTTCCGAAATCACAGCGCGGCGGCCGCAGCACAGCTGCCGCGCCAGGCGCTGCGTCCGGAGAGGCTCTGGGCCAGTGCCGCGAACCGCCGCAGCCGGCTGGCAGCGGGCGGGCGGGCGGCGCCCGGCGGCCTGCTAGAAGTAGGTGTCCCCCTCACCGCCGCCTGTGATGTATCACCACCGTCCGCAGGTCATGATCTGGTCCCTCAAGATCGGCATCAGCTTGTTCATGCCTATGGCCATCATCGGATGCGCAGTGCGTGAGTGCCTCCCAGGCTAACCTGCGCGACCCCGCCACGCGCCGCTCCGCTGGATGAGGCGCCCCGCGCCCTCGCGGCGGTGCGCCGCACCTGCCTGTCCGTGCCGCGCCCCTCCACCACCCACTTGCAACTCCTGCAATGGGGTCATCAACATTCTCTCCATTCTCCTCCTCACCTTCATCACCACACACACTTACACACACACTAACACACACGCACACACAAACCAACGGTCCAACCATCCAACCGTCCAACCGCCCAACCAACCGCCCCGCGGCCGCAGTGATCCCGCTGCACTACGCGGGCTACCAGCGCAACCCCGTGATGCAGGGCACAGACAACAAGATCAGCCGCAGCCAGCTCATGCAGCTCACGGTGGCCGCGCCGCCAGACAGGTCCCCCGTCTTTTGGTGAGCCTCGACGGCCCGGCCCGGCCCGGCCCCGCCTGGCCTCCTGCCCTCTGCGCCACATTGCTGCGGAGCCCATGCCGCGGGATGGCCGGCGTCGCCCGCGGACGCCGAGGGCTCTGCTGTTGCCCCCGAGCGCCCCGCGTCGGCGGCCGCCCCTCTCGCCTCGGCTGGGCGTCCGACCCCCTTTTTTGATGTATTCCAAACAAACGCTTGCATGATTTGCAGGCTGCACTTCGTACTGGTCGTGGCCTACAACTTTTACGCGATGTACATTTTGTTCTGGTACTTCAGGCGCTACGTCATCATCCGCCACAGCTACCTCACGCGAGGTACACGGGCGGTGCATTGGCGGTACGCGCTGCGCAGTCTCACACCCCTCGCATGGGCTAGGCATTGGGCGCTCTGCGTCTTGCCGACCGCCGCACCCCGCATCGGCTGCACATGTTATCGGTTGACACAGGCATTTCTGGGCCCAGTGTGAGGCCTCAGCCGCCAGCCGCTCCCGAGTGACGTTGTACCGCCGCCGACGCCGCCGCCGCCGCCGTGCCCTGCAGGCGACGACCCAAACTTCTGGATGGCGCTGACTCACCAGGCGGACGCCAAGAGCATCACCAAGCGCGTCAGGCGGATGCTATTGGACCTGAACCTCACGTCCGAGGGCGGCGCGCGGGTGGGCGGGGTCGGGCGCAACACGGCGCGGCGTTCGAATTTCCGGGGCGACAGCTGCCGCGATCTGGCCCGCCAACGGCGCGCCTGGGAATGGGTCTGCCTGTGACTGTGAACGCCCCGTCGAAGGTCAGAAACAGCGGTGCAGGGACCCTGAAACCAGCGCGACTCACGCTGCCCCCACAATCTGCCGCCCCTTGCCCGCAGCCCGGCGGGCCTGGCGCCGCCGCACCCGGCGCCCTAGCCAACGGCGGCGCTGAGGCCGCTGCAAGCGCGTTTGCGCGCGACGCGGGCAGCCGGCCGGCGTCGGTAATGAGCAGCCTGCGGGGGCTGGGCGCGGGGATATCGAAGCTCTTCCAATCCTCGTCGCTGGTCGGCTCGCGCGCCCCCAGCGCGACGCCCCCGCAGACAGAGCCGGGGACGCTCGCGCGCAACAGCGCGGCCGCGGGCGGCGGCGGTGGCGGCGCCCCGGCGGGCGCGGTTCTGGGCGTCTCGCCGGCGGCGCTTGCCGCGCGGATGCGGCTGCTGCGCAGCCCTGTGCCCGGCGCTGCGTCGCCGGCGCCACCGGCGACCGCGCCGCCGCCCAGCCAAGAAATGAGCGGCGGCGGCGGGGCCGGCCAGGCGCGGGCGCGGGATGCGGGGGCCGGGGCGCAGGAGGCGCCCGGCGTGGGGAACGACGCGACTGGCGCCGCCTCTGCTGCTTCTGCGGCAGCGGCGGCTGCTGCCGCTGCGCACCACTTCAGGGTGGCGCACATGAGGACGATTACAGAGGAAAACTTGGACACGCTGCTGCGCCCTGGCAGCTCAGACGGCGCCGACCCGCTGTTGCTGCCGCCTGCCCCCGGCGCGGGCCCGGCCTCCTCGCCGCGCCCCACCGCGCCGCGTCCCTCGCCCTTCGCGCTCGGCGCCCCCTGGCCGCTGGACGGCCCCGCGCCGCCGTTTGCGCTCGCGCGCGCGCCGGGTGCGGCGAGCCCGCCGGGCGGCGCGGCCGGTGCGGGCTGGGCGCCGCGGGCTGGCCTGTCAGAGCCTGCTCATGGCGCCGCCGCGGGCACGGCAGGCCCTGCAGGCGGCGGCGGCGCCGCCACGCTCCTTCCGATGGACAGCGCCGCGTCGCTGCCTTCCGCCCTGGACGCGCCGCCACCAACGCAGCAGCAGCAGCAGCAGCAGCAGCAGCAGTGGCCCCTTGGTTACAACGGCACGGCCGGGGGCGTGCCGGGCGCGGGCGTCGCCGCGGCGCCGGACGGCCGCTACCTCGTCTCGACGCCCGACGATGTCCGCCTGACGGTCCGCTCGCCGCGCCACAGCAGCAGCAGCGACGGGGCCGGCGGGGCCGGCGGCAGCGACGGCGGCGACGGGGGCGACGGGATCGGCGAGGAGGGGCCAGACGCGTGGCGCGCAGAGACCAAAGCGTCAGGTGCGCGCCGGCCGCCTGTGTGCGGCGCTGCGAATTGGCGTCCTGCTGCCCGAGCCAACTGCGTCGCGGCCGCCTCAATTTCGCAGCCGCACGCGCGGGGCCGCAACCTCCCGCCCCACCCACATGCCCCACCCCCATCCAGCCCCGCTCGCACCCGCCGCGCCGCGGCGGCCCTGCTGGCGACACTCACTCTTCACCCCCCTTCCACGCTCCCACGCCCTTTGAGGCGTGGAGGGCGGCCCCCCGCGGCGCGTGGCGTACCATTGGTGGCAGGCGCTGCCCCGGGAGTCCCTAAAGCTGGGGGGAGCGCCCGGCGCGTCGAGCGCGGCATCAGACCTGGAAGGCTACGACGGCTGGCGGGAGCAGCCGCTGCTGGCAAAGCCCAGCGTTCGGTTCCGCAAGACGATAAACGCGGATAATCCGGCGTACAAGCCCTACGGGCCGAGGTGATCTGGGCGGATCTGGGGTGATCTGAGTGTGATGATGTTGAAGTGATCTGGGGGCGGCGGGGCGGCGGGGTGTGTGTGTGGAAGGGGGAGGGGGCGGCCGCCGCGGGGCGCGCTGTGGGAAGGAGTGCGGTGGATGACGGGTCGGTGGGTGGGCCGCGTCCTTCCCCAAAGCAGACCCGGCTCAAATGGGTTGCGGTCACTCCTCAGAGGGAGTGCAGCAGCCGTTCCCCGCGTGCATTGAGCCCGCGTGCCTTTCTTGGAAGCACTCCATCTGCAACGCGTTCAATGTCCGTGCCCTTGCTAGCTTCACGCACCCAACCCCACAACATAACCCCATGCTCGTCACTCGCCATACCGTATTCACACGTCAGGGACCCACGCATAACACGTGCATCACCCTATACACACACAACAAACAAACAAACACACTCATACATACACACACACACACACGCACACACACACACGTGCGCGCACGTGCTCAGGCGTGACCCCAGGGAGCGTCCCAAGGTGGCGGTCAACGCGCAGCACTACGCCGTCCTCGTCACAGACGTGGCGCAGTGGCCGTACCCAGAGCTGCAGCGGTGCGCGCCGCGCGCCGCCCCGCCTCCTCGGCCATCCCCCCCCTACCCCCCAGAAAAAGTCCTGTGCTCGCCCGTTCCACTGCAACCCCCCTCTACTACCACTACCAAACCCTTTTTTTCGGTTCGGTTGGCTCCGTATTTGGCTGCCAAGCTGCGGGGGCATGCTGCTTGATGCATTCTCTGGCTTGCTGCAGCGGTCGCCGCCGCGTTTCACGGCCCCGCAGGACTGTGCCCTCGCCCAAGCCCGCCGCCCGCCGCGCTCGCCCCTCCCGCCGCAGGGAGTACGAGGCCGCCCGCGAGCCCACCGCCCGCGAGCGCCTGCACAGCTGGCTGTGCGGCGCGCCGCTCATCGCGCCGGGGCCGGACGACTCGCTCGGCGGCGCCCCTCCCCCTGGAGGGGGCGGCGCCGGCGGCGCCGGGGAGCCCGGGATTGGGCCGGGCGGCGGCGTCGGGCGCAAATCGGTGGACGTGGGGCGGTCTGGGCTGGAGCGCGTGCGGGCGGAGCTGACGGCGGCTGACAGTTTGGAGGCAGCGGTGGAGACGATTGAGAAGGCCAAGGCCAAGGTCGGTTGGCGGGGCGGTTTGTGTGGGTGTGTGTTGTTGGATGCGTGCGTGCGTGCTCGTCATTGGGTATATGTGTTTGTGGTGTGTGTATGTTTGTGTCCATGTGCACGTGTGCGTGTGTGTATGCGCGCGCGTGTGTGCTTGTGTGTGCACGCATTCACGCGGGTGCGCGGCCTGAAGTAGCGCCGTCGTCGCACGCACGCGCTCCGCCCCTCGCCGCCCCTCATCCGCTCTCTCCCCGCCCCGCACGCCCCCGCCGCCCCTCCCCCTTCCCGCCCCTCCGCACCACCAGCTGCAGCAGCTGTCGGCTGGCGACGGCGCCGCGCTGGAGCGGGCGAACCGCACCCTTAATAAGGCGGCGCGCGAGGTCTACCGCCTGGCCGAGCAGCGGGACCGCGCGGTCGCGCTGTCTCGGGA